GATGGACATTTGGGTTGATTCCAAGTCTTTGCTATTGTGAATAGTGCCGCAATAAACATACGTGTGCATGTGTCTTTATAGCAGCATGATTTAAATAGCAGCAGGGGTTAAATTCTTAATTTTAATGCAGTTCACTTATAATCTTTTTTGTATGGTTTGAGTTTTCACACTCTGTTTAAGAAATCTTTGTTTAAAAAGATCTTCATGAAACATCAACTATTTAAAGATCTTAAAGATTTTCCCCCATTTTCTTCAGAAAGAATTATGGTTTTTCTTTTTATATTTAGACATATGATTTACCCCTAATTTTTGCCTATCACATATATCATAGGTCAAAGTACATATTTCCCATATAGATATCCAGTTGACCTAGCTCTTTCTAACTTACAGAACTACAACAATGCTTTTGTCACATATCGTATCATATATCATGTGTGGAACTGTCTCTGGGTTCTATATTTTAGTTCATTGGTATGATTGTGCTTGTACTAACCTTACATTGTCTTAATTTCTGTGCTTTTATAACAAGTCTTTACATCTGGTACAGTATAGCCTTCATTTGTTCTCTTTTGAGCTTACCGTAAGTATACTAGATCTGCATTTTTATAGAAAGTGCACAAATTTTCAAAAAAAATGGAATTTTGATTGAGATTGTATTCAAGTCATAGATAATTTTGGAAAAATTGACATAAAAAAGATTGAGTTCCAAATTTTCCTCCCATCCTGTGGGTTGCCTTAAACACAGCCTTAGCTGCATTCTATATGTTTTTAAATATATGAAAATAACCTTTTCTTCATTGGAAACTCCTTTCAGTGGTTCAAATATCCTGCAACTAGATATACAGTTAGTAATTGCCTACTACAAGTGAAGCACAGGGTCCAAGATTGAATAATTTTAAATGATTTTTTGGAAGAATATGGAGAGGAGATATTGGAGAGGAGTGTAAGAGAGCTAACTTTTCATCTTATTTACTAGGAAGATGACAGATGACATTTAAGACAAAAAATAAGGAAAAATTTTGATAAACATGATATTTTCAAATATGTAGGTAAGTACCAGAAACTAAGAAACTTTTAAAAAGCTAAAATTGACTAGCCCAGGTAAACAGAAGTAGTGAGTACCAAAAAGTGAGTTAAAGGACTTTTTCCTACTGCATAACTCTAATTTTTAAGTTCCATTTATGTAGTTGTTTGACAATAAACATCATTTTTATTTAATTTATTAAAGAGGCTTTTAAAGAAGATAGAATTTTGTGAAAGATTTGATATTTTCCTTGAAGAACACAGTGTTTTAAGTTTAAAATATAGCTAAAATACATTTATGCCACAACATTTCCTTAAGGAAATTATGTTTCTCAGAAAACATTGAAATGTCTAATTTCTTCTCACATCTGATTTGTTAACAACTAGTTGCAATATAACATTAGACTCAAATTCTAAGTTGTCCAAACAAGCACAAGTCTGAAGTCTAAAATTAGCTACTATCTATTGGATTGTGGCCCAGG